CTACTCCCAGAAAGCCCTGGGGCTACTTTGGATGAAACATAGTGTCATCACATCACCCGATGAGCCATATTCAGAGCTAACAGACCTGGAAAGCAGTCAAACACTATAGTTTGCAACACATAGCCAAAGCCCTTCAAGTTAGTATTTGTGTGTGTGTGTGTGTGTGTGTGTGTGTGTGTGTGTGTGTGTGTGTGTGTGTGTGTATGTGTGTGTGTGTGTGTGTGAGAGAGAGAGAGAGAGAGAGAAAATGGTTGCAATTCCTGATGTGATGTTATAAACTCAAGAGTTTCTGTTTTTGTGTGGAAAGTTGGAGGATATGAACTCTCCATTTTTATTAAAATTCCATGAAAAGTTATAAATGCCTTTCTGTTCTCTTCATTCTGAAATTAGACTGTCACTGAGGTAAGAGTACTCTGAATTCACAACATCTGGCTTTCAGTCCAGTCACTGAAGTAACTTAATGCTCACCATTACCATGACAACTCGAATGGTAGCACAAAAGTAGAGCATGCCTTCAGTGAAGGATGGACATAATGGCAAAATGGATTGGGCGGCTGAAAGATCCTAGCTTTGGAGTGGTAGCAGAGCAACTGGGAAGCCCACAAAGCAACACAGTTGTATTCTGTTCAACAAAAATAAGAGTTTAAAACTCATTGGTCTCATATATTTGAAATGTCCTGACATTCCCAAAATACCAGAAGATATTGTTGAGAGTACCCACATCATGGGGGGGGGGGCAATGTGTAACCTGCATAATTAACTTGTAAACTGCCCAGAGAATGCTTGAAGCACTATGGGGTGGTATGTAAGCAGCATGCTTTGCTTTTCCTTTCGGGAGAAACTGTGTGTGTGGTTGGTTTGTTTTTTTAAGGGAAAGGGTGGCTCAAAATATTTTGCTGGCACATGTCATCCCAGCCATATGCTCAGTGCAAGGTGCATAATACCAAAAGCTAGATAAACTATTTTGGCACATGAGGCAAAAAAAAAATCTCATAACAGTATAATGATAACTACTTGAGTAACCAACAATGTGCTGCCTCTTTGTCACATCTGTTATCTGCAGTCAGAGGTCACTGCTTCCCTCTGGCCCACCTTTTTAGAAGACCCCTGCTACATGCCATACTAGATATGTTGTTAAATTCTTATTTTGCTGAGTCTTAGATACCTTTTATAAAACCATACTTTTCACGTGTACTTCAAACAATGATTGTTACTATTATTTTACCTCTATGTCGTCTTTAAAAAATACAACTGGTTTTAGCAAGGAACGGTTTAGAGAAAGAACTTTCCACCCCAAAGTCCAAAGGGAAAGAACCATAATGTAAACCACCTGTACTCTCACTTTCACTGTCTGACTTCTGTATGTTTTTGAATAAATTATAGCATTATTTTATATTATTTGCATATTAAAAAGACTAATGCCATGTGATGATGGTGCCACTTCCTTTCTATTTCAGCTCCCGTTAAAGTGAGTTCATTTAATCTATACCTATGCCTAAATTCACCGAGATGGCACACATTTAGCTGCTCAGGTTTATGCAAACTTTTCACCTTCTCAAGTTTTTTCCAATGGAACTTTTTTTTAAAGAAGCCCAGAGTTTATTTATTTATTTATTTATTTATTTTATTTCTATCCCGCCTATTTGGTCGTACTAGACCACTCTGGCTTACAAAAATAAGTTCAAAATAATCTCTTCTACATGACTTGCTGAATATTAATAGTGCCTTTTGTTACTTATGCAAATTCTTACAAATTGTTCATTGCCTCTCTTACAAGGGAGGAAGGGAGGAAGGGAGGAAGGGAGGAAGGAAGGAAGGACGGACGGACGGACGGACGGACGGATATTTGTAAGCACTAGCTTAGGCTTTGTTGGCTGAAATCCTGTTGCATACAGAGTGTAAGGAAGCATCCGGGGTCGGACGGCTTGCCTCCGGAACTGTTCAAAGAAAATATTGACTGGTGGGCACCTTTTTAGCAGCATTATTCACCTACATCGACTCCACGGGCCTCTTTCCTGTAGAATGGAATACAGCAATAGTAGTACCTTTTTTCAAAAAAGGACTAAGAGATGAACCGGCAAACTATCACCCTATTAGTCTCTTAAATATATGCAGGCTGAAGCATGCCTTTGGAACTGCAACAGAAGGTGTCTATCTCCGGACTAGATCAGATGGAAAGCTCTTTAATCTCTCTAGATTGAGAGCAAAGACCAAAGTCCAGCTGAAATGCATGAGGGACTTCCTCTTTGCAGACGATGCAGCCATTGTTGCCCACTCTGCTGAAGACCTCCAACAACTCATGAATCGTTTCAGCAAGGCCTGCCAAGACTTTGGACTAACAATCAGCCTGAAGAAAACACAAGTCATGGGCCAGGGTGTGGACTCACCTCCCTCTATTACCATCTCCACACAAGAATTGGAGGTTGTTCATGACTTTGTGTACCTTGGCTCAACCATCTCTGACACCCTCTCTCTAGATGTCGAGCTGGATAAACGCATTGGGAAAGCAGCCACCATGTTCTCTAGACTCACAAAGAGAGTATGGCTCAATAAGAAACTGACAACACATACCAAGATCCAGGTCTATAGAGCCTGTGTCCTGAGCACACTCCTGTACTGCAGCGAGTCCTGGACCCTTTGTGCCCGGCAGGAGAGGAAGCTGAACACCTTCCATATGCGTTGCCTACGACGGATTTTTGGTATCACCTGGCAGGACAGAGTTCCAAATAGAGTAGTCCTAGAACGAGCTGGAATTTTCAGCATGCATACATTACTGAAACAGCGACGTCTACGCTGGCTTGGGCACGTTGTGAGAATGGCTGATGGTCGGGTTCCAAAGGATCTCCTATATGGAGAATTAGTGCAGGGAAATCGCCCCAGAGGGAGACCACAGCTGCGATACAAGGATATCTGCAAGCGGGATCTGAAGGCCTTAGGAATAGACCTCAACAGATGGGAAACTCTGACATCTGATCGTTCAGCCTGGAGGCAGGCAGTACATCACGGCCTCTCCCAATTTGAAGAGACCCTTGTCCAGCAGGCTGAGGCAAAGAGGAAGTCACAAAGGAAGCAAAACCAGGGAGCTGGACAGGGGACAGATTGGATTTGTCTCCAGTGTGGAAGGGATTGTCACTCTCGAATTGGCCTCCTCAGCCACACTAGACGCTGTTCAAAGTCCTCCATACAGAGCACGATACCATAGTCTTTCGAGACTGAAGGATGCCTACTAGACATGCATAAATATTGTCCGCTCCCTATGGCCTACCTATCACAGCTTGAGACATATAAGTTTAGGAAAGCGTTTACCCTGGCTAGATGTGAGGCTTTCCCTTCTGCGGTGTTGGAAGGCAGATTTAAGAAAATATCCTGAGGGAACAGAGATTCTGCCCTTGTGGCTCTGGCGAGATAGAATCTATCGAGCACATGATGCTCAGGTGTAACAGGCATAATAAGATCCGAGGAAAATATATTACACCTCTCTTAAAAGATATGGCAGGTCAATCGGATTTGGACTACTGTAATCAATTGTTAACCGACCAAAATAGGATTACTACAGAACTGGTAGTGAAATTTTGGGCGGCATGCTATAACAGACAGAACAGACAGCTAAACCCTTAGACCTTGGTCTTACATTGTTATATTTGCTGTTTTAGATATTTTACCTTTTGTATATATGGTAGGGTTCTTTGTAGTGCATGCCAGTCTTTGAAGTTTTGTATTCAATTTTATATGGCTTGATGCCATAACAGTAAAGTATGTATGTAAGGAAGCATCCTCTTTTGGAACGCACGCTCTCAGGCATCTTTGCAAGTCTCAGGGAATCTCATGATTCCCACAGTGCTTTTCTCCCCATCACTAGAGGAACTGTGTAGGAACTGAATGGAGATAAAGGGGCTTTCACTCTCATAGTTGACCTGGATGTGTGGGGGGGGGGATTCCCACTGAATTATGCAGGTGGGAGGCCATTAAATACAACAGTATTTGTGCCTTCACAAAAACGCACAATGTCACCTCAAGTACGTATTGAAAAATGAGTGGGCAGTATTATGGAGAGAAAGTAGAGAATGCAACATGAGGAAGCTGTTTCCGTTTACCTGTCATACTGTGGCACTCAGAGATTTTTAAAAGTTCCACAGATTCTCTGCTACATCATATGTTTTGTAAATTCAAAACGTTCATGCTTGTTAGAGCTCTTCTATATTGCTAGGATGATATCATGATGATTTCAAAAGTCATTTAGAGAACAATTGTGCCTTCACATTATGATGGCTGAGGAACAATAGGATATTGTATATTGTTATCCCAACATAATACTAGATAACAGCACTGCACCACAAATATGGGTACGTAACATTTTACCAGTGCAACAACTGTACCAGCTACTATGCATTTGTGCAACAGGTAAAATCGGAAAGGAAGTTGTGAGCCAGTGCCCCCTCTCACACAGCAGACATATGCCCATCATATGCAACTTGACCCAAGTAGTATTCTTCCCATTGACAATTGCTGTGTCCACACTACCACAACATAACAGAGGTTTTGGTGTAACTCAGTCACAGCATACAATGGCCAGTTTATAACAGCTCCTCAAGGAGACTACAGCTCACATGGTGTGGTGCCTGTCTCTCTTGCCTCTGTTCATGTGCACTTAGGGGAAACAGAGAGGAACGCTGATGAAGGGACACTTGAACACAGGCAATTAGTACAAAATGTGTTGGCTCACCCTTATACATGGGAACTTGCACACACAGATCACTCATCTGTGCCTAGAACCCAGAAAGGTTTTCTCTGTGAGACTCCATATATAAGCACCAACAATCCTCAGCATTTCACCATCGGCTTCACTTCAGCCAGGATGGAACACCTTGGCCAGGTAAGTAAGGGGGGCAAGGATGCTACCAAGTAGAACTACAGCAAATAGCCTTTCCCCTTTGCTTTATGTAAATCCTGCATCTTGTCAGAATTCTAGCACTTCCTGTAACATTCTTTTCCTCCAACAGTGGGGAAGGGTCTCTCCCGCACTGGGGAGATACTCACCCCCATATGTGGCAGGTGATCTCTCTGATGGCAAGGATTGGATGCTCTGCCAAAGCTGCTGCCACAGCTGGTGAAATGCCTCTGCCCAACTTTGCACTGCAGAATCACTGTCCAGATAAATGGAACGGAACACATCTCTGCAGGCCAAGAATGCCACTGCAGCATCCATGAAGGATGGGGTGAGTAGGCTCATAATTGCTGCAGTCTCGCTCTCCCCCATGATGTGAGGAAGGTGGAGGCATGAGATGTTCACTATTGTTTGTTTTACCTTCTTCTGTGCCTCCCTTGTTCTCTACAGGCTGCGCTTCTGCAGGTCATGAGGACCACCCCATTCCATGGCCGGCTATATTTACAAGCATGTTGCAAGATGTTCCTTCATGGGGTGGCCAACCTACTTGTACCAAGCAGACACCTGAACCTCTGCAAGCTCTATGACAGACAGTTATAAGACTGGTGAAGGTCCTGGGCTGTGTAGGCATAGGGCACAGAGACAGTTGCAAGATCTTAATAACAATATATTCCTTGCCACTGGATCCAGCTTCATTTAAGTAGGAGGGAGTCCCTGGTTAGAAGCTCAGACTCCCACTATGCCTCCCAGGGAAGAGGGTGTAGCAGCAGCAGCAGCACAGAGGCAGAATAGAATTAATCATATTCCAATCCAAAAATACAGGAGTTTATAGACTTCAAAAATATAAGCTTTAAAAATTTGAGTTTCAGCTGTGATGGACTACCACAAACTCAAAGTACCAAGGGTTCTTAAAAATTTTATAATGCTCTATGACCTTTCATTTGACCTTGAAAAGACCAGCTGTGGTCACCCAGGGTGTATGTGGCTGATAGGCTGGTGTGCCCTGCCACCTGTATGGCCTAAGCTACACAGGCCACTGGAAGGGAGGACTGATAACTCACTTTCTAGCATTTGTACCTAGAAAAAGTCACAATGGCTTATAAGTACACTGACATCCTCTGTTATTTATTTATTGTGTAATTAAAGCACTTGTTTATTGCTTTCCTGTTTCCAAGGCAGCTTACTATAGATAAAAAATTTTTTAAAGATATTTAAAACATTTTAAAAACAGGGTGAAAATGTTATTTAAAGCTATATTAAAGCAACCTCTAAAAGCCTGTTTTAAAAACAAAAACAAAGTGAGAGAACAAATCCCTCTGGAACAATCCTGTTTTAGCTATCCTTCAGCAGCTCAACAGAGATGGAACCCTGTGAAATTCGTTTGGGAGGGAGTTCCTCAGTTGTGGTTGTGTTTCACAGAAGGACTCTGCTTGTGTACCCACCAGCTCAGCCTCTTGGGTTAGTGGTACACATAAAAGGGCCTCTGCTGGGGATCTTTGATTCCAAGCAAGTGTATATGGGAGGAGATGGTTTTTCAGATGTCAAGCTGTGTAAGACTTTGTAGATCAAAACCAGCACTGTCAATGTGCTCAGAAGCAAATTGGAAGAGCAGCTAGTTCTGTACTGTCTCTAAAGTTCACATCAGGCAGCAGTCTGGCAATCAAATTTAAAACCAGCTTCTGAACATTTTTCGAATGCAGCCTGCCTTGTACAAGCTGTTACTATAGTCTGATCCGGAGGTAGTTAAGGCATGGACCGCTGTTGTCAAATCCATCTCGCCTAAGAAGGGGCACAGCTGGCACCTCAGCTGAAGTGGGCAAAGGCATTCTTGGTCACAGCAGCCACCTGGCCTTCCAGGAGCAAATGCAGAGTACAAGAGCAGCTCCCGATTGATAACCTGTTCTCTCAAAAGGAATACAAACCCATCCAGAACAAGTTGTAATCCCAATCTGACCTTGTTTTTTTTGTTAATCAACAGTACATCTGTTTTGGACTTTGATTTGATCCACTACCTCTAATGCCTCACTACATCCAGAAAACAAATCAGGACTTCCATGGGTCTTTGGTGTCAGCAAATAAAAAGAGATCTTGCTGGGTGTTGTTAAGGTAGTGCTGAGACCCAGCCCTCAAATTCTGGATGATCTCTCCTGGAGACTTCATGTAAATATGAAGAGGCATTTGAGATAATGCCTTCTTTTTCTTTTTCTTTTTCTTTTTGAAGAGCCCCATATGCTAATATCTAGGAAGTTTAACAGTGTTTCCTCAGCATCACCTTTTAGATGCATTCATCCAAATAGAACTGGAACTAGAGAAAAGGCACCTGAGAGGGGACATGAATGAGAGGAATAAATTATGTAGGGGATGGATAAAGTGGATAGAGGAAAGCTCTTTTTCCTCTCACACAATACCAGAACCAGGGGACATCCACTCCAATTGAGTGTTGGGAGAGTGAGAAGAGGCAAAGGACTATATTTCTTTACCCAGCGTGTTGTTACTCTGTGGAACTCCTTGCCACAGGATGTGGGATGCCATCTGGTCTAGATGACTTTAAAAGGGGATTGGAGAGATTTCTGGGGGGAAAGACCATTACAGGTTACAAGCCATGATGGGGATGCATAATCTCCAGACTTAAAAGGGAGGTACCTCAAAATGCCAGATGCAGGGGAGGGGTATCAGGAGACAGGTACCTAGTTGCCTCATGTGCTCCCAGAGGCATCTGGTGGGGCCCCTGTGAGATACAGGAAGCTGGACTAGATGGGTCCTTGGCCTGATCCAGCAGGGATCTTCTTATGTTATCACATCTGCATTCCCAGGTCCCATATCAGCCAAACAGCCCAGAAGGGTACTATGATCAACAGAATCAAACTGTGGTTAGATGTGGGTATGTTTCTGGGAGCCACTGAGGCCAGAAACATGCATTAGAGTTAACTCATTATTGGAAGAGGGAAATTTTTAACTAACCCTCTGAACTGTGACAGCATGAGTTTATCTTACCTTCAGGATTATGCAATTCATTTGATTTGTTCAGTCTTCAGGGCTTAACTATAGGATTCCTTTGAATGCTAATTTCACAAACATAGAAAGACTGCCTCAGTCACCTCCACACAATATTAGCATGCTTTCAGCTCTAATTATGGGCTATCTCTACCGTTTGTTTCTGGCCTGAGTAACCACAGCATGCTTAAAAAGATAGAGTGTTAAGTGACAGTTATCACCCTTACATCTCTTTTCCTACCCCTAGTAAGTGGAGTTTCTTAAATCTTTTCCTCCTCTGTCTTCCTTTTCTAGAATGGTCTGTTCTGTTCCTAGACATGGCAACAGAGAAGGCTCCTGCCCTGTTTAGCTGAGCTCCTCTTATCCAAGGAGGAATCAATTTTGTTCTCATTCTGAATTTTTAAAGTCAAGAGCCAGATCAAATTTCCAAAGGAGAGATGGCCTTGTGTTCACTTCATCGGAGAGTTGTGACCCAGAGTTCCATCTGCTGATGGTGTGTCTGTAACAGTACATTAGGCAGCCTTCCAATCAGATGTCTGTGTCACATCCAAAACACACAGCAGCTCCAAACATGTGGCTCTTTAATAAAGGATAGTTGTTGCCGATGGTGTCTGACGTTTTAACTTCAGACCATACCTCAGTTAATGCAGTTCAGGAGGGGATACACGATGGTTTACACGATGCTTTTAAGCAGCTTTCTTGTGGATTGTGCTGTGTCGTAAGGAGGAGGTGTGAAAGGCGGTAGGTAAAAAAAGTCAAACCCCTCATTTTAAATGTACCTTACCCAGAAGTCAGTAAGAATTTCCTACGAGATTAGCACTGTGTACCTGAAAAATATAATTACTCTTTCTGGGGCTTGTATCTGTTCCTTTAACGGGTTCTGATAAAGTGGGAAATTCTCATCAAAATGTTCTCTAATGCAAGAGGTTTTAACATACTGAAAAGCTATTATCTGCTAAAACCATCATATAAAGAGCAGCAAGAGCTCCATAGGATAAGTTTGGAGAAGAATGAATTAGGCAGGACAACAGATGTACATGAAAAAACTTCCTGTTTGCCTGCCGCTGGAAAGCAGACTTAATGCTTCCTCTTTCAACACAAGCACAGTCTACAGCAAACCCTGTCAAGTAAGAGCAGGAAAGTCATTTGTCAGGATAATGCATTAGTAGTAAAGCAGTCAGGACAGCTGTCAATGGAGTCCAAAACAAGACAGGCAGCACAAACCCATGGATGCGAGTCCACTCAGTTCAGTGGGGCATAGTTGCTGGTAAGTGTGTTTGGGGCTGCATAATACAAAAAGGGGCATACACTGAAAGCAGTATGGGCTTTAGACATCACCAACCTGAACTACAACCGAGAATAACATCTAATTGCAAAACTCACCAAGCAACATAATAATTTGGAATTAATTCAGCTTTGATGAGGGAGTTAACCAAAATGTATCCCAGCTTTAGGATGCAGATGGCCAAGTCTCTGTGTGGCCTTTCTCCCCTCCCCCAATAAAAAGACTTGCTTTCCAAACAGGCAATATGTCTGTTTGAAGGTGGGAAGGGGGTTCACTTAAGGACTACCTCCTATCTTGGAGGCTGAGTGGAAAATTCCAACCAAATGGCACCAGAGGGGAGCCATTTAAAACACACACACACACACACACACACACACACACACACACACACACACACACACACACACACACACACACACACACACACACACACCACACACACACACACACGGGGGGGGTTTGAAACAAAGCTCTCAGCTCACCTTAAGCAAAATGCCTGGCAGATCTCTGCCATGACTATTTTGGGACTTTCGTAATTTTTTTCCCTACCCTGCGCCTGAGGAAGTGAATTTTATTCACAAAAGTTTGTACTGAATGTTTGATTCTTAGTGGTCCAAATAAAGGTGTCATCTCTTCTACATTTGGAAGCAGCTGGGGGATTTTGTAGCAGACAAGGAAAGCAAGCAGCTTGAGGGCAACTGAAGTAGGAGACAGGGAAGCCTCACTTCAAACTTGAAGCAAATAAATGGCCCACTAACATCCCTCTGTATCTGTGAAGCAAGGAGATCCAAGGCTAAGCAAACATTCCGCCTTCCTTAACTAGCACTTGGACACAACTTCTCCACTGCATTATGTATTCTCCTCTCATGCACATAAGTGTTCTTCGTTCTAGTGGCTGAAACTGCATTTGGGCCAAACATAAACTTGGCTTTCTGCTTGTTTAGGGATTCTTTCAGTTCCTGTTTGGCTGTTGAGCCCTGCTGATCTGTTTGTATTTCCTTGCCTAGGCAGGCAGGAAGACAGTTTTGTTTTTAACATGAAATTATCAGTAC